TCGTGAAATAGTTTTTATTTATATAGTCGAGATCTTTTAAAAATCTATTTTATTTGTGTTGTTATCTTTTAATAATAGATTTGCTTTTATTTTTTAGTTTTTTTCTATTTATGAGTGTATTTTAGAATGGTAGATATAAATTTATAATCAATGATTTTTAATTTTGATATATTTTATTATAATTCAAAGTTTTTAAAATGCACCAGAAACTAAACCCTACACCCATCAATATAAACCCTAAACCCTAAACCCAAACCCCACATTATAAACCCCCTCCCTCTAATTAAAGAACCTACACCCTAAACCCAAATCCACATTATAACTCCCCCTGAAACACACACCTGAATCTCACATTACAAATTAGTTCTTGATTTGTTTTTTAATTTATTTTAATAATTTTTTTTTTTTTTGTAATTGTTGTTTTCTTATCCCTTTTATTCTTCTATAGTGATCTCATCTTCTTCTTTTTTCTTCTATTTTTTATTCGTTGTCATCATCTTTTTTTTCTGCTTCTTCTTCAATTTCCAATTTCTATTCTTCAATCGTTTCTTGTGTCTTCATATCCTCCAACTCACTATTCTTCTTTTTCTTTCTAATTTTCTTTACATTTTATTTTCGATTTTTTTCTTCCTCATTGCCCCTCTCTCTATCTTTATCATCTTCGTCTTCTCTTATATCATGTTATTATAGTTTTTATTTATTTATTCTTTGTCTTTTTTCTTCACATTCCATTTTTTCTTCTTTGATTTCTTTTTCCTAGTGTTCAAGTTTTCTTCTTCTTCTCGAAGTTTCTCATCTTCTTTTCCACAGTCTTCTTTTATTATACTTGTGTTTTTATTCCTTCTTGTTTACGTCTTATATTTCACTTATCAATTCATTTATTTTTTAGATTTTCAGGGATTCGTGAAATAGTTTTTATCTTTATATAGTCGAGATCTTTTAAAAATCTATTTAATTTGTGTTGTTTTCTTTTGATTATGGATTTTCTTTAATTGTTTTAGTTTTTTCTATTTGTGAATGTATTTTAAAATGATAGATATAAATTTATAATCAGTGATTTTTAATTTTGATATACTTCTATAATAATTCAAATTTTTTATAATGCACCAGAAACTAAACCCTACACCCATCAATATAAACCCTAAACCCTAAACCCAAACCCCACATTATAATCCCCCTCCCCTAATTAAAAAACCAGAATCCACATTATAACTCCCCCTTAAACCGCACACTTGAACCTCACATTACAAATTAGTTCTGGATTTGCTTTTATTATTATTTTATTTATAAAAGTTTTTTTTTTCTTTTTTGTAATGGTTGTTTTCTTCTCCCTTTTATTCTTCTCTAGTAATCTCATTTTCTTCTTTTTCTTCAATTTTTTTATTCGCTGTGATCCTTTTATTATTTTTGCTATTTTGTTACTTTCAAAAGATACAACAAAAAAATCAATTTCTTAGAAAGAAAGATATTTTCAGGTATCCATTTTCAGGAGCTTTGTAGCTGTGGACTCATGGCATTTATTGAGTTCTTCTGTTGCGAGCTACTTTAAATCAGAAGCTCTTTTGTCATCTTGTTCAGATTTGGCTGCAGAATCTGTTGTTGAGACCATCACCCGAGTTTTTTCTTCTCGGACATCATTCCTAGGTAGTTACCTTTGTCGTTCTATCCGCAGTTGGAGGTTTCTTTAAATCTGTAGGGATATGAAAAGAACAATGTTGTGATCCAAATTCATAATACAATTTAGAATCACTTTCACATTTTCCACTATATGCAGCTTCATAAATCCAAAAAGCTCAAACACAGACATAAAAACCAAAATTATAGGCAAAGGTATATACTCATATAGATAAGACAATTGAGCTGTGTGCATGCTTGTAGAGATGTTTATGTACTTTCAATTGGTTTTGTGTTCTTATTCTTCATTTTTTATCTTTGATTTTTCCAATTTCTTTATCCTTCACATATTCTTCAATTCTTTTCTTCTTTTGTTTTTTCCGTCTTGTTTTCCAACTTTTATCTTTTCTTTATTTTTATTCAGCTTTTTTCTTCTTATTTCATCTTCAAAAAAAGAAAAAATAAAGAAGCAACATAGCTATTGTAAGAGAACTAATATTAAAGTTTACCATGGATGCAAACATAAAAAGTTTACCATGGTACTTTAGTTTTCATGGCTTTATGTCATAAGTATTTTATCTTATTTTTTTTTCCAGTTATACTTCTTTCATCAAAAAAAAAGAAAAAACAAAGAAGAAACATAGCTATTGTAATAGAACTAATATTAAAGTTTACCATGGTACTTTAGCTTTTCATGGCTTTATTTCATAAGTATTTTATCTTATGTTTTTTTTTTCCAGTTATACTTCTTTCATCTTCTTTATTTTATTTGTCTTCTATAACAATTTTCTGGTTTTCTTGAATCCCTTTCTCATTCCAATCCATATCAATGGCCTTACATCAGTTGTTTACCTCCGACAAACACATTGTCGTTTCTATTCAGTTGGTTTTACCTTTCCCTCCCTAAGATCTCTTCGTTTACCTCACTTCAAAACCTTGGTATCTCCAACACCAGTTTCACTGGAACTATAACTCTTAACTTCATTGTTTCTCAAGATGGTGGTGTTTCTTGTGGAAATCAATTTGCATCTGATTTCGGATAGAGGATCGTTTGGGTTGTGTTTCTTAATCACAACCAAGCTTGTCTCTTTGTCTTAATTAACTTATCAGAATTTTAAAATAAGTTAATCAGAGTCCAGAGGAGAAACCCTTTTCTTTTTAGCACTTCCCTCCATGCTACCAAGCCTTCACAGACAGGACAGTAGGACACCGAACTTTATACAGAGGCAAGCCAATGAACAAAAGTATTAGGAAATGCGAATCAGCGAATCGAGTTTTTTTTAGTAAACTCTTTATGATAAAAAAATCTATAGAGACGAAGATGTAAAAAAAATTAAAACTTACCAGTCATGAGCTAGAACATGTCAATGAAAGTAATTCTAAATTCAATTCCAAACAAAGTTATAACATGGTCGGGTTATCCACATTTAATAATGCTGAGTAAGAGAGTACCACAAAAATAAAGAGCTCTTCAATGAGGTCTCTGAACAGCTTGACAGCTTTTTCCTTGTACATGGTACGAAACAAAATACGTTAATTTAAAAAAAAAACGATAAGTTAGAGTAACAAAACAAAGCATTTTAACGTGGACACATAACATATGTTTTTGAAGAAAAGAAACAAAAAATTTTAAAAGAAATATATCGGAGCAACTCGATGAACTTCTTACATCCTTCTTAGCCTATTTGAATAGAAATTATCTCAATGACCATATATTTTTCTTGTGTTTATACAATCTGGACGATAATGTATATATATAAATAAGAAAAAGAGAGAGAGTTTCGTTTGAATGAGATCAACAACGTGATTAAAATTTACCATTATTTGCGCGATCCACTTTGTCTTAACAAAGATGCAAACACTTTCTATCTCCTTTTCTATGTGAGGAACACCGGGTCTTTGTGAAATTCTGCAGCAACAAAAAGGACAAATAGATTTGGGTTTAATCAGTTACCATCACAAACACATGATAATACAAAAGAAAAGGAATAAGAAACACACCCATCGGACTTAGATTTTGATGGTAAATCTAAAATAGATGTGACTATCTTTATCGTTGTGATGGTAAAATACACACCCATTGACGTGAAATCCACCGCTTGATCATGTTGTGGATATCATCGCAGACGTGACTTGCTTTATCAAAGAATTGCAGAAAAATAAGTCTATTAAACCTTAAAACAGCATGATGCATGCAAACCGATCTCCGAATAACGTTTCTCCACGTTGTGGATATCATCACAGAGGTGATCAAGCCGTGAGCCCTTTTGTTAGCTACATGGTGAGCACTTTTATGGGTTAAGTGGTGATCCTATAGAGATGGAAATTTCAGAAAAAGAGGACCAAAACGATTGGCTTAATCAGCACGATGCACAATCCTAGCAAAAAATATTTCAGTACGGTGGAATTTATTAACAGATACATGGATTGAGCTTATATAATCCCAATACGTAGATGATAGGCAATCCTGTTCACCCCAGCTATTGTAACCCACAAGTAATCAAAGATCTTCAAAGAGACTACATCATAATTATCACGGCGGAGACCGCTTAATATCATTCCTTTTTCTTGTGGCGGATGTTTGTATTTATAGGTTAAGATTGATTAAGTTATTAGGGTTTCTGCGTAAATCTTTATGATATTAATTTCAGATTGATTGATTAGCAAGAAGGAAAAATAAAATTTTATTTATTTATTATGTTTTTTAGTGTTTCATTTTTTTTTTAAGTATTGATTTTTAAAAGGAGATTTTAATTAAAAGGAAATTTTTATTGATTAATAAAAAGGAAATTTAAAAGATATTGCTAAGATTTTCATTAAGGGTAGTTATGTAATTCCGAGGCTGAGAGTTAACGTGGTGCCTCCATTCGAAATTCTGACTTCGCAAATAATAGTATGATAGATACGTATATATATCGTTTGTCGTTTTGACTGGATTGGGCTCCTTTTTTGTCATTCTTTCAAATTTAATTCGAGCTGTAACCAGTATTGTTTATATTGTTATGGTTAGACTATTAGAATGTTATTGAAATAATTTGGCAAAATATACATGACCTTTAACTTAAAAAATTTGGATAGAGAAACAATAATTGAGAGGGGCACCACGATGTTCATAAAATATTGTCATATTATAGCATCGGATAAACATGACATTATCATAGATATCATGGGTGATGAGTTTATTCCAAGATGATATTTTAACATCGGCCAAAGCCCAAAGCATGTACATCCTCATAGGTCCAGAACCACAATATGTAATATTGGTTTCATGCCAAACGGCACTCGATTCTATAATCTCTAAGCTTTGCTTAGGGTCTTTTTACTAGTCAAGCTAGCTATAGCTACTTAGTTATTTTAACAGTGTTAACAAACAGGATATGATGATATTACAACAGTGTTAAGCTATAAAAATCAAGATGGCGGCGTGAGGAACGACAGAGGAGGAAAACTAAAGCCAAGGATACTGGGAATCGAACAAGGAGGAAATAACAAAAGAAACGGAAACCTAAATCGAGAAAACCGGGAACTGATCCTAGACGTGATAACGGAAACCTAAAGTCAGGGACATTGGGAAACGATTGTGATGGCCGAGGTGGTGATGGTGATGGCAACACAAACGTTTGTGATGACGGAGGTGGTGACAGCATCACAAACATCTGTGATGACAGAGGTGGAGGTGATGACGGTAACGGAAACGGAAATGATATCGGAGGCACTGGCAGCATGGCTTTCACTTCGTCAGTCGGCTTATGATCGTTGAGTGGGCGAGTTGCGGTTGTTTCTGACGTGAGGTGGAAGATCAAGATTATAGTTAGGGCTAAGGTTGTAGTGACTGAAGAGCCATATTTGCGTATAAATATCAAATGTTTAGTGTGAGTGTATAAAGAGACCTTTTGTCACACAACTAAAAAAAAACTTTTTTATTTGTTTTAAAATATGTATACATTTTACCAACCATGTATGTGCATATTGTAGATTACATTTACTTTAAAGGAAAATTATACGCACAAAAACACATTCTTCTTTTTTTTTGTTTAAAGGCCTATCACTCACAAACACAATTATTTGTATAATGCCCGATCGCCCCTCCTGGTGAGTCACCCACCCTCTCTCTCTGGGCCTGCAGGCCTATCTCGACTTGTGGGCTTCACCCCTGTCCGACAGCTGATCCGTTATTTTCGCTAATGACTTGTTTACTATCCCTGCAATCAATACCCGACCTTTCTCCGTGTTTTAGCCTCATTCACACGGTTTCGGAAACAACTTCCTGGAAGGTCACCCATCCTTCAACTACTCCAGCCCAAGCACGCTTAACTCTGGAGTTACTTGTATGGAGTAACAGCTCAGTCTCATTGGATCTAGTAATATTAATTAGTCACCCATCCTTCAACTACTCCAGCCCAAGCACGCTTAACTTTTCTACAATGCAAGCTTTATGTCGCATGATGCACGTCTGTCAGGTCGACAGAGATAACGCAGAAACATAGAATTAACACAAAAATCACCCAAACATCATCACATAAACCTTATACCTTATATCATAAGAACACATCAAAAACAATATTCAATAAATCTGGATCTAGTGATTTGCGGACCTACAGTCATGCATTCACCTTGAACTGGATTGAAAACGGGAAAGGAAGAGAGAACAACGAAGCACAACGATGAACAGAAACTAACAGCTACAGATTCACCCCAGAATTCAACAAATCGCCTCAAACCTCCTTCTCTCTCAAGAACCCAGCCGCAAAACGACAAAAGGAAGGAGACTGCAGCTCTTTTAAAACGAAAATCAAAGTTTCCCTTAACCCAAACCGGCCCAAACCAACTTAAATTAAACCGGTCCGATTTTGAAATTCTTGCGTCGACCGAGGCAAGGACGCAACCCTTGCGTCGCCCCACACAACTTCTAAAACTCCCAAAAATGAGCTACATATGTTACACTAGCAATTAAATAATATTAATAATAATTCTCAGTAATTATTAAACTCTATTTCTCAATTATTCAATAATTCTCATAATTTAAATAATAATTTCCCATATTTAAAATAATTTATATAATTATTTTAAGCCACTTAATTAATTAAATTAACACTTAATTAATTAAATCCGAAATAACCATTAAACCAGATCAAACCAGAAATCAATTCCATTAAATCAATTAATTTAATTCAATTAAACCGCAATTCAATTTCCAATTGGTCAGTCGACGCAGACCACTTTGAATTCAACACAAAATCGTTGGGTAGACACCAGATTCAACGAAACGACGCAAGAACAATGAATTCAACACAAAATCAACCAAATAACACAATATATCACGCAATCCACACGAACTTCACAAGAACAAACCCGATTAATCACGAATCTAGTGATTTGCGGATCTACAGTCATGCACTCACCTTGATAAACGATTGAAACAGGGGAAAGGAGATGAAACAAGGAGGAACAACACCAAAACAGCTCTAATCTGCCTCAAGAACACCACAATCACCACAAAATCGCCCTTCTCTTCTTCTACAGCCCGCAAAACAACATAAAGGAGAAGAACAATGCGGCTGCCTCTTTTAATTCGCGAAACTAGGGCTTTTCTGGCCCAAACCGGGTTAAACCAAACTCAAATTGAACTGGAAATTACGAACCAGAATTTGTGTCGACCGACACAAATCCTCTGCATCGCTCAACACAGCCGAATTCCCTCAATTCCAAAGATAACGGATGTTACAATTTATCTAGTGTTGGGATCTATTTACCTAGAGCTGTGTTTACACATGACCAACTATATGTTGCAGTCTCACGTGTGAAAAGAAGAAACGGTCTAAAGTTTCTTATTTTTAATGAGGGCGAAAAGGATACAAAAACAACAAATGTTGTTTTCAATGAGATATTTCAGAAAATCAGAGAATCATGAATTTGTCACAGGTACTTTTATCTGTATGGCTCGAAAGTATAGTAAAACTACTTATTTATTCACATATAGAGTTAAACACTAAGTTGTTATGTATGATGCAGGCGAAGTTGTAAAAAGCAGGGAAAAGGTAAAATTTAAGTCACATATTAAACATCAAACAATCGTTCAAGTAACATACATCAAGATTGTGATAATAATGCCCAACACAAATATATATACATAACACTGTGTAAATCTATATTACTTCTATATCCAACAAACAGCTCTCTGCATAAGTTTGTTGTCTCTACAAAATCTCCTTTGCTCGGTTTACTGAAAAACATGTGCTATAACTTTCCCGGTGGCATTTTCAGTCTGCATCTGTTACTTCTGCTTCTATGTCTACCACTACTGATGAGGAACCCTTTCCTGCACAGTCAAACTATAATAAATTTCGCAGAAGTAAAACATAAATTTGGGTAAGTAAGGAAGAACCTTTCTTAGGTGCAGAAGAGAACCTACCGTCGCTGTCTCCTCACCATGGTGACCTTAATTGAAAACACCAAAAACAGAGAAACAAGATTTATGGCAAGAATGCACCTGAAAGCTAGCTTGAAAATGACGGTTTATCATATGGTTTTTCTAAGTTCACTAAACTAGCCTAACCAAACTTGATCTAGGTGTAGAATTGTTAATGAGAACAATAGTCTAGTTTCGTGCCGCTTCATCCAAATAGAAACTTAATATTTTAGAAAGATTCTGGTGTTCGGTTTAGTTCTGATCCGTTTTTATGTGTCCGCCACTTCCAAAAAACAGTCCGAAATCAATTTAAGAAGACATCATTAGATAGTTTTGGACAAGCATCCTTGTTGTGATCCATAAGTTCAAGAACCAACATACCTTTGATGCATTTCACACAAGTCTCGTGGCAACACAACTCATCTAGTTCAGTTCCCCATAAGATCTGAGCTCCCTGAGAAACAGCCTTGGCAGCAGCATATGGCAGATTGTCTTGGTAACCCACAACAGATAGAAACTTATCAATGTGCTTGAACAGTTGAGTTTCGTGAACTTGTTTCAGTAACTCTTGCTACAGCAAAACGAACCAAATAACAGCAATCAATCAATTGAAAAATATAAACACGAAAGAGAAAACAGAAGTTGTTATGACTAAACAGAACATCAAAAAGTTCATCAATTTAACATAAAAAACAAATGAAAACTCATCATCTTCCAAACGAAACTAAATTTTTAAAACCCAATCAACAACATAGAAACGGTAGAAACCCAATCAACAACGCCATTTTCAGAGCTTATAGTTGCTCGAAAACCCTAATTAAGCACATTTTACATCCGATTTTTGGAGATATCTTACCATGCAAAGAGAAGGAAGAACCATTGATTGAAAATTGGTTGATCTTCATTTCTTTTTTGCCGATTCGCATCATCACATGCTGTTTCGGAACGCCCCACCAACAAAAAATCATGATTTCTGAGTCATTTGGTAACAAAATCGATTGATGTTTCGATCACCTTTGAGTCGCCACCATCGCCATCGACAGAGAAGAGAGAAGAGATAGAAGAAAAATGAGAAAAAAGAGCGTGTTTCTCTGGCCAATCATGTGATGCCACGTGTCACTAAGCATCAGATGCTTAAAATCCTTATTTAAGCATTAGATACACGGCTGCTTAAGTTTTTTTTTGTATTTTTCATTTAATTAAATGAACATTTTACCTAAGACCATGGTTAAGCATCCTGCGTTGGGCATGCTCTAATGGTTTAGGTTTTATGTTTAAGCAATTAGATATATAGTTGAACTCTGAAGCCTAATGTTTTATGTACAAATGATGTTTTCTTTTCTAGGAACAGCTAATTATTGTTTATATATCGTCATTTAAATGGTTACTTATGCTCTACCACATCAAATTATTATTGCATAACACAGAGTATGATGACACATGATAAATTCTGTTCTAAAGTTACAAATATATGAAAACCAGAGCAACAAAAATCAATATGAGCCAAGATTTGGATGTACCTTCTATATAGAAGTGAAGCTTATTGGATCCGATGAATGTAACCAACAAAACAACATGTTGTTTGCTTCTACCAATTGCTCCTTACAAAAATAAGTAGAGAAGGCTTTTTAAAACACGAAGAGTGTATGTCCAATTATATACTCCCTCTGTTTTATAATAAGTGTCGTTTTGATTCTTGACATACCCAATGTATCTAAATGTATATGGATGTATTAAGACTCAAAACACATCCAGATACATCAATAAATAGTCCAGATTCATTTTGTCAAAACGACACTTATTATGAAACGGAGGGAGTATTCTAACATGATGTAAACACATTGACATATTTTCGTTTTAGAATCCTTTAAAAACAAAAACTGTCACAAGCTCGAATTTGATATACCAAGTAATATGAATCAACAATAATGATAAATAATCTGTGGAAGAAATAACAATATACTATGATTATAGCAGTAAACCTCTAAATTATACTCCCTCTGTTTCATATTATAAGCTGTTTTGGAAAAAAAATTTGTCCCAAATTATAAGCTGTTTTCTAAAACCAATGCACTTTTTACTTTATTGAATGTTGTGTGTCCAATTATATTGTGTAGTCTTTTTACTTGATTGGTTGAGTTATATTTTATTTATATATTAAGCAATATTTTACTTTAAAAAAAATAAATTTCTTGGTTTTTGTGTTTTACCTTAAACAGCTTATATAGTGGGACAGAGGGAGTATACGTTTATTATAATCTTAAAGTTTTTTTTTTTTTTTTTTTATGATAGACCCTATCGGCTTCCGGTTAGCCCCGGTAGGAACGCACCGAGGTGCTACAAAGTGGACTCATCCTTTGGACTACCACATTGCATATCCTGAGTTTGGAGTGCCTACCGACTAATGCCAGAGGGTAATTAGATCGCCTGCATTTCTGATTACCAGGTAAACCAATTGGGCCTAGGCCCAACTGACAGACTTTTCACACAAATGTGATTTTGTTTCCAGGGAGGATCAAACTCGGGTCTCGGAGTTTCACCCTTCACCAAGGCTTCCCCTTACCACTGGACCACAAGAGTGCGGGCTAATCTTTTAAAGTTTGTCATTCCATATATCAACCATAGAATACAATACAATAGTAATAGCTCGAGTAAGGAAATCTTGGTTTTTTAAGATAGTACATTCATTTACACATTATCAGAAAAAAATTGGATGCTAGATTCAATAATTCATCAGGTTATATGCAAAATTTCTTTAACACAAGATCTTAATTCTAATATGAAAACGAAAATTGTACCAATTAATCTTCAATACTAGAATCAAAAATTGAACCGGAGTTTTGTATAAACTATAAATTAGAGGAAAAGCTTGCACTATCCGTCTTTCATATTGTTCAACTTGTGAGATCAACGCCTCCATTGCGGCCAAAAACTTTATGATTTTTTCAGAAGCTGAAACGAAGATAAAATGATTCCGAAAAGTTTCAATTGGAAAAGGAAGATTGTCAATGTTTAAATATAAGAACCATCGAAGAAGAAAGAAGATGGATTTGGTATATTGAAATTCAAATGAGTTGATTGAATCAGTTAGATCATACGAGCTGAAAACGGTTGATGTTAGTATATTTGCGGTGGCGATAATCAATTTAAGTTTTCTCCAGAGAAAAAAGAATTGTTCCTATGTGGAAGGATTAAACGGCGACTGTGAGGAAAGGCCCACTTCTTTTTCTAAAAGATATATTCTTGAAATATTCATTATTCAGATTGACAGATTCATGCTCAGACAATTTTTGGACCTCTTATAGGCCCAGTTGAAGCCATTTTACATCCCATATGACCCATTGCGTATATTTGATAAATTATGAATAGGGGAAGTTCACGAATATTTTAAAAACACTTTTTACTTTTTAAACACATAATATAATTGTAATTCCAATTCAGAAACTTTTTAATTTACTTATAAGACAAATTAATGTGCCTCGTGTGTATGCACGGGTGGAAACACTAGTTTTTTTTAATGTTACACAAGACTATGAATCAACACAGCAAAAAAACCCTTGTGCCTCTCCAGATGTTAACAGCTAAGCCTTTTTTAAGTGTCCTGGAGCTGACACTCATTAAAATCAAACAGCCAATGGAAACATTTTATTTAATACCAGTCAGCAATTTTGTTGGTTAACTTGCCATGTTTTGTCTCGGTTTGACCCATGTTAAATCTGATTTACTTCCTCTCCGGTTACGATTGATTCTTCTTCTTCTTCGGCGAAATTATCTTCGTCTTCTATCGTTAGAGACAGTCTTATCAAAGCAGAGAAAGCTTGTAAAGGTGGCGACAAATTGTTTGAACAAATCCGCAGGAGAATCGTCGGATAGATGTGGTGGATTTGGCCGAAGAGCAGATCTGAAATATCGATTCCCTCTGTCGTATTTGATTCAGAAGAAGCAGTCGCCTGTGCCTTAGCTGATGGCTCACTGGAACCACTCTGGTTCAGGGTCGGGAGCACCTGGAAGTGGTGGTGGAGCTAATCTTGAAACCAGGCAGGAAGATTTGGTTTGAGGTTTGTACTGTCTTCTCTATCTTTCCACTTAAGATCCGACATCTTATTTATTTAGTTATGTGCTGTCTTTGTGCCACTAGACTGTTTGGTGTTTTCCTGATAGAGGTTTATAGTTACTGTCATGATCTCTCCTCTAATTGAAGTTTTTTGTTTGTCTTCTTTCTTATTGGTGGCATAACCCAGTCTCGAGTATTGAAAACGTTAACGAAGACTGAGACATAATCCTTGGTGAGAAACATCAGGTTCTGACTTCAAATAAAAGGTACATTCTCACTTTGATGTCCTTGAAATTACGATTGTTTTGATTATAAATTAAAATGCTTTGATTCTTTGCAGTCTTTGGGCCAGCTTTCCATTGATGATTCTTCCGATTCAATCTACCGGCAACTGGAACTCTCTTGTCATTGGAACTCTCCTGTGCTTTTGGCCATGTACGTTTTTCCTTGCAATTTTTATCAATGGATGCTTTGGTATCTGCTGATCTCATATCAGTGACTCTCATACGTGGATTTGGCTAGGTGAATGTAATTTGAATTAGGTTTTTGTGCTAATCTGATTTTTAAGGTTGCCAAAAATCTCTTTGTTCTTTGACAAAACCCAGAAAAGGAAACAGAAGAGAAGAGAAAGAAGCACCACGAAAGAGGCAACGCTATATTGATGTAAGGATGATGAATCAACCATGATGATTATCCTTCTCGATACTTTAAAGCTCTCGAATTAGTGATGGGTATTAAAGTTTGAGTTGAAAAACTTTAGGTTTATATGCAAACAATTTGATTCAAGGTTTTGTGTGTTTCAGTTTTATAGTTTTAAACGACAATTGGTTTAAAAAGCTTATAAGTTCAGTTGGCTTTTGAAATTTGGTGTAGCTAGAGTTGATGACACGGGAATGAGAACTGACTCTTGAGGGAAATAAAAAGAGTACTACCACAATGGATTTTTTTTTTAAGGCAGGATATCATTTGGAGAGTACATTTTACAAAGATATTGTTTTATAGTATTGATTTGCAGCATGAGGATAAGGTAAAATTACTGCAGAAGTACTTAACAAGATATGTTAGTTGCATTTCAAGCAAGAGTATATATCAAACTTCTGAATTTTGGTTTGTCAAGACATATTTTCTTTTGCTGTTGATCAAAGATAAATGTAGTAACAGCATGAAGCAGCTGGTATGAAAAAGTTTAAGTTTTGGTTTTGTTTTGGTTTGTGAAACGACCAAGGTTTGGGCTGTTATAGTTGGTGTCTTTTTTTGTTTTAGTCCTATTCTTCTTTTGATGATTCAAGCAGGACCAATAAATTGCTTTCTTTGTGTCGTACTATCACTGATATGCCTTGATATTTATTTTTTTGTCTTCCTTCTTATTGGTGGCATAATCTCTCTGAAAGCGGTAACGAAGACTGAGACTTTATTCTTGGTGGGAAACATCAGCTTCTGACTCCAACTTGTTGGGCCTGGACCCTATGTTTTCTAAATTGTTTATGGCTTAATGCAGCATACAAATTAATTGGTATAAGGAAATTGTAAAATATCAAAATAGAATATTTATAATTTATAACACAGTAAAAAAAAGAACAGAAGTCTCCCGCTGCGAAGCGCGGGTATCCTACCTAGTAGTATTAATAAAAAGATCAAGGATATATTTGTGTCTCTACTAGTACTATTTACAATCAATCATATCAATTAGATTTAATGATGATTTACCATAGTAGTGTAGAAACAACATATCCAACTTGAGCCATTCCAATAAACAACAAATCCAGCACATGACGTTTCGGAACGCACTCGCACTCTTATAATTCATGATGGCAGGAGAATAAGTGAGTGAGTGAGAGAGAGATTTCTGGTGCTAGGAACTCGAATCAAAGTATTTATTAATTAGATAACCCTTGTGAAAAACTTAATACATGACACATCTTTTTCTTAATTTTTCATAAAATACTCTCATATATTAAAACATCGAGTACACATGATCAATAGTGATGGTACAATAAATGATAAATTTATTCCAATGGGATACTGATATTATCTTAACGGCATTAGCCTATAAAAATCATTGTGGCGGCGTGAGGAACGGCAGGGGAGGAAACCTAAAGTTCGGGAATCCATGGAAGCTAGGGAAACCGGGAATTGATCCCGGAGGAGATGACTGTGACGGCAATGGAAACGGGAACCTAAATTGTGGAAATCCAGGGAAGCCGGGGAAGCCAGGAAAGCCAGGAAAGCCAGGAAAGCTGGGAGTCAATCCGGGAGGTGATGACTGTGACGGTAGTGGAAACGGGAACCTAAACTGTGGAAAGCCAGGGAAGCCGGGATTCGATCCCGGAGGGGATGACTGTGACGGTAATGGAAATGGGAACCTAAACTGTGGAAAGCCAGGGAAGCCGGGAATCGATCCTGACTGTGATGGCATATCAACTTTGGTTTCGTCAGTCGGTTTTTTATCATTGAGAGAGCGAGCTGAGTTTCCGACGTGAGTTGGAAGATCAAGATTAGGGTAAGGGCTAAAGCGGTTGTGACTGAAAAAGCCATGCTTGTTTATGTGTTTCTTTTGCTTGTGTCTTGCATTAGCAGATGTTTAGTGTGAGTATATATAGGCCTTTTTGTCAAACAACTAAACAAACGTTTCATTTGTTTTTAAAAATCTGTATACATTCTACCAATGTATCTGAAAACTGTAGATTGTATCAACTTTAAAGGAAAATTACACGTACACAAACACAATTATGGTGACAAATCTGCGTACCATTCCGAAATAGTTGGACTGATTTGACAGCTACAAATGCCTGTGTATGGTATGGTGGCTGGTGCAAATCCATTCCAATAAAAAGAAATAAAAATACGTGTAACATGGAAATTGGTTGACTAAAAAGAGAAACATAAAAATTGACTAATTAAATAAGAAATAAAGAGGTATATGCATGCACATGAACATGTATCTCTCCTGCAGCCAGGCTGCAGCTCATAGAATCGAATTCTTCTAGTTATAATAGACAGGCTGTATACTTACACATTTTACATACTATTCTAACAGTCACATTTCAGTATCCTATACATTATTTTATTCTTAAATAGTTTGTAAACATTTCCTGATGAACTTAACACGATTTGTATATAAATCTACAAATCTATGATTTCTAGTTTAAGGTTTATATGGCGAAGCCACTAAGACAGCACTTCACACCCTTTCAATGTTACAAAATATAAATGTACATAAATCTTCATAAATATTATTAGTTTTTAGGGGTGTTTAATCTGGTAACATCCAATGAAACCGAATCAAATAAGTAGTTTGAATTTGGATATACCATATAAATGGTAGATGTATAATTTTATACAATTATGAATATTGATATGATTTGGATATTAATCACGGCAAAAACCGAAACAAATCCGACTATTTCTATATTTAATATCATAGTATATAATATACAGAAATGTTATAATATGATATATAATAATATAAAATTAAAATGATACTATATAGAATAATATATTATCAAATAACCAAATTCTAACACCAACAATTTTAGATAAAGCACTCTATTCTTCTCTTTACATAAATATTATTTTGATCATCATATCTAACGGATTTTGCTTCCATTTCTCGACAAAATCATTAACATAACGTAGAATGTTTGCTTTACTAATTGATTAAATTCTAAAATGAAATTCGTTAAGAATAATCAAAATAAGTTTAAACAATATTTTTTACAGAAATTTAAGAATAATAAAGGTAAAATTTCCAGTTATATGTTTGGGTAGTAAATTTGGAACAACCCAAAATTTATTTATTTTCAGAAAATCTAAACCCCATATTCAATCTTAAGCAAAAGTAACATGTTTGGGTAGTAAATTACAAAGTTCCCTCTCATGAACAAACAATTTTTTTTGCCGCCTTTACCAATTTAACACGGATTTGAGGTTATGTCTACATGGAGCCACCTAAATAGGTCTACGTAATAGTTATATGATCTTATATTTAAATTAAAAAATAATTTGATGAAACCTTTTCCATACATAAATAAAAATCATTGCATGAGGAACGACAGAGGAGGAAAACTAGGGATATTGGGAATCGATCCCGGAGGAAATGACGGAAAAGGAAACCTAAAATCGGGAAAACTGGAAAAATTGATCCAGGAGGTTAGGGGTGTTAAAATGGATAACCCAACCCATCCAACCCATTATCCAAGTGGATTTAGTGCTAATGGATCATGGATTAATCCAATCCATTTAGGAAATGGGTTGGTTTGATCCATTATCCATTTAATTAGATGGTTTTAATGGGTTAATGGATGAATGGGTTAATGGATGATCCACAAACAAATATAACTAAAAATTTATATATATTAAAATAAAGATAACTAAACAAAATCTATAAACATCACAAAAATCTATAACCCATTAAATCTGTAAAATCGTAAAATCATGTCTTTCCGCCAAAATCGTAAATCACATCTTTCCGCCGAAACCGTAAAATCGCAAAACACGATTTTTCATCAAAACCGTAGAACCACGTTTCCGTCAAAAACATAAACTCACTGTTTTTTGCAACGTAAAATTGTGATTTATGCACAAAACAGTAAAATCACGTCTTTCTCCCTAAACTGTAAAATCACGTTTTTCAACCAAAACCGTAAAAATCAGTTTTTCCATCAAAACATAAAATCACAACTTTCCCCAAAAACCATGTTTTGCGGTTATGGCGGAAAACCTTGATTTTGCGGTTTTGATAGAAAACCGTGATTTTGCGGTTTTGGCGGGAAACCGTGATTTTGCGGTTTTGGCGGGAAACCCGTGATTTTGCGGTTTTGGCGGGAAAACTGTGATTTTGCGGTTTTGGCGGGAAACCCGTGATTTTGCGGTTTTGGCGGGAAACATGATTTTGCAATTTTGGCGGGAAACCGTGATTTTGCGATTTTGGCGGGAAATTCGTGATTTTGCGATTTTGGCGGGAAACTCGTGATTTTGCGGTTTTGGCGGGAAACATGATTTTGCGATTTTGGCGGGAAACTCGTGATTTTGCGATTTTGGCGGGAAACTCGTGATTTTGCGATTTTGGCGGGAAACTCGTGATTTTGCGGTTTTGGCGGGAAACTCGTGATTTTGCGGTTTTGGCGGGAAACTCGTGATTTTGCGGTTTTGGCGGGAAACATGATTTTGCGATTTTGGCGGGAAACCGTGATATTGCGATTTTGGCGGGAAACTCGTGATTTTGCGGTTTTGGTGGGAAACCTTGGCGGAAAACTGTGATTTTGCGATTTATACCAAAATTGTAAAATCGTTTTTTTTGTCAAATTTGTAAGATCATTCTTTTATGGTATTGTATTCAAATCCAACCAAATACAATTTTGGATTTATTATGTGGGAAAAAACATTTGATGTATAACTGTTTTTTTTTTTTTAATAAAGTGGGTTAACCATTGATCCAACCCATTATAAACCAAACCATTTCAATCCAATCCAATTAATCCATCACCCATGTGAACCATTAACCCATTTGGATCCAAATTTTTAATCCATTTGGATTAATGGATAAGATGGATTGGGTCAACCCATGGATTTGGATCCATTTTGACACCCCTACAGGAGGTGATGACAAAAACGGAAACGGAAATGGAAACGGAAACCTAAAGTTAGGGACACCGGGGAAACGACTATGATGGCGGAGGTGGTGGTGGTGACGGCAACACAAACGTCTGTGATGATGGAGGTGGTGACGGCAACACAAACGTCTGTGATGATGGAGGTGGCGACGGCAACATGACGGAGGTGGAGATGATGATGGTAATGGAAACGGAAATGATATATCCGGTGGCAACATGGCTTTCACTTCGTCAGTCGGCTTTTGATTGTTGAGTGGGCGAGTTGCGGTTGTTTCCGACGTGAGGTGGAAGATCAATATTAGGGTTAGGACTAAAGTTGTAGTGACTGAAGAAGCCATATTTGTGTATGAATATCAAATGTTTAGTGTGGGTATATATATAGACCTTTTGTGACACTAACTTAAAAAACTTTTCATTTGTTTAAAAGTTTGTATACATTTTACAAACCATGTATCTTCATATTGTAGATTGCATTGACTTTAAAAGAAAATTACACGCACACACACATTTTTTTTTAAGGCCTATCACTCATAATCACAATTACTTGCTGACGTTTTGTATTGTTCCAAAATATGTGGACTGATTTAACAGCTACAAATGTGTGTATCGCAGGTTGGCTATTGCATATACATTTAAATAAAAATACATTACAATGTAGCGTGAAAATTTGTTGATTAAAAAAGAGAAACATGACAATTATCTAATTAACTAATAAATACATGAATAATTGAATATATTTAGCCTGGTTACAGCTCAGTAATTGAATTTGTGTATATTGAAAAACAAGCTATGCTTACACATTTTACATACTATTCTTAACATTCACAGCTCACTATCCTTTTCAGTATTTTATTCTTAAATAGATTTTAAACAATTTCTTATAACTATTTTTTTTTTGGTGAGTTTCTTACAAAAATTAACAGGTTGGCGGTTGGTGTATATATCTACTCTTTCTTTCTCTCTTTTTTTTTTGGTAAAAATCTCTTTTTTTCTTTTTCTAAAAGGTTAGTGTATATATCTACTATCCAGGGGCGAACCCACATTGACCAAGGAGGTGGCAATGTGTGAAAAAAAAACTACTCAATGGCAATGTGTGGCAAGGAGGTGACCAAGGAATTGCCACCACTCAAAAAAAAAAATGTGTGAATGTTTTTAAAGAAAACTAATGTATGCCACTATCAAAAAACAAAATTTTGCCCCCATAACTCATTTTTCAATCATGTTTAAGTCCAAAACCAATCAATTTAGTTAAGTTTTTTCAAGTGGCAAGCCCAAAACATTTACCTTCACTAGTCTATTAATCTTTTCAGTGATAACACCTAAAATTTGACCCCACTAAATATATTTTCTAGATTCGCCATTGCTACTACCTACACTACACGATATATGATTTATAGTTTAAACTAGGAGGTGATCCGCGCTTCGCGCGGAAATTTATATTATTATTATTATTATTTTTTTTTTTGTCAACAGCCTCTGCTTCTACAACTCAGAAATCCAAGTTGGGGAAACAGAGTTTACATAATCCAAGTAGGTAGAGCTCGAGCACTCCGTGCTAACTTGTCTGCCTTCGTGTTGCTAGTCCTTGGTATATGCGTGATAGAGAATGAGAGAAAGAGCCTTTTACATCTGTCTATTTCTTCTAAAAGTACTGCAAAAGCTGGTCACTCCTCTGGTTTAGACCACATCGGAGCAATCCGTCTCAAACACCATTACTAACTTGTTATGCCGTAGCATACATTGCATTGCCCATAACAAGGCCTCCACTTCTGTTTGAAGGGGAGAAACTCCCCTCCACAGATTACATGTGCCCAATAGCTTCTCGCCTGTCTCCATATTAAAATTATACCATCCTAGCCCCGATCGGGAGTCCGTTTCTTTCCAAGATCCATCCACCTGACATCTATCCCCCATGAAAGTTGTATCCACCGTTGTCGTTAATACCGGACCCACCCGGTCATGTCGTTCCTGTGCCATTGCCCAGGCCGAAGCCTCCGCTGCCGCGTGACTTATAATCTCACGGGGATCCCAATCTCCGTTAGAGAAAACCTTGTCGTTGCGGGCCTTCCAGATAAACCAAATCAACCAAGGGTACATTCCCATTCTATCATCGTTTGGCAAATTCCAGAAAAGATGTGCTATATTTGTAAACAAACCTTCTGTTGGAAACCGGTTAATGGCTGTTGGGATCGGGGATAATGCCCAAACCTATAATGCCGGAGGACATTCAAAAACCATATGATTAATCGTTTCCGGAGCCATGCCGCATCTCATGCATTGTGGGTCTATCTGTAGACCTCGGCTGCGTAAGCGTTCTCCCACTGAAATACACCCTGTTAAGATTTACCATAGAAAATGTTGAAGTTTTTGGGTGCAAGGTATTTTCCATGCATGTGCCTGTAGGCGACATATGTCTGGCCCAAAAGGTATTGTACAGTCATCGTCTAGATTTTCTTGGGCAATTGTATACCCAGATTTAACTGTGTACCGTCCCGTCTTTGTATAAAACCATCCCATAGAGTCCGGTCTGTCCAAATGTGAGGTCGGAATCCCCATGATTAGAGATACATCCCTATTATCAAAAAGTTGATTCAATAGTGGAAGATTCCACGTTGGTCTTCCGGGAGTCATTAAATCCCGCACCCGGAGATGCAGGTAAAAATTTATCCCGTTTCCCTTAGCTGACCTCGGGCGAGACGCTGGAATCCAAGGATCATCCCAAACTGAAATAGAGATCCCCGAACCAACTCTTTTAATAAGCCCTTTGTTAACCAGAGGTCGAGCCGACACTATACTCTGCCATCCGTAGGAAGGAGAGTAGGATTTGATGGGGTCCAAAGGAGTAGCATTCCGATAATAACGTCCTTTAAAGACCCGTGAGAATAATGATTCTGGATTTTCCATCAAACGCCAGAGTTGTTTTGCCAATAGCGCCGTGTTGAAATCCTCAAGAACACGAAAACCCAAACCACCATCATTCTTATGTTTACAGAGTTTCTTCCAAGCCAACCAATGCATCCCTCGTGTTTGCCCATTATTACTCCACCAGAAATTTGATACCGCACTAGACAATTTGTTCGTAACACCTTTTGGTAGACGAAAACAGGAAATCACGTGCATAGGCATCGCCGAGACAACATACTTTATAAGAACCTCTTTACCCCATTTTGACAGCCACTTTGAGTTCCATCCATTTATTCTCTTTTGCTGTCTGTCTATCAGGAAACTAAAAATCTTTGTCTTAGCTCCCCCTAGACTCTCTGGTATACCTAGATATGTCCCCATCCCTCCAATCTTCTCAATCCCCAAAATATGGTGTATCTCAGCCTTAACCCTGCATCCACTGTGTGTCCGAATTATATCGAAGATTTTGCAAAATTAATCTGTTGTCCAGATGCTGCCTCATACTCTTTCAAAATTTGCAACAAAACCCGGCTTTCTTCGCTACTTGCTTTGCAAAAAAATAAGCTATCATCTGCAAAGAGTAGATGAGAAACAGCTGGACTTGCACGAGCTACTTTGAGGCCCGTAATTTCCTTCATTTCTTCTGCCTTCTTTAGATTTGTTATCAAAATTTCTGTACATAGAATAAATAAATGATGGCGGGTTTAGATTGCCTCAAATTTTCACAATTTATAAACCCAACTAATGAGCTGCAAGTGCACAGCCGTGTTGTAGTCGGGGTCGAACACGAGGAGGAAGTGTTCTCACTTAACACCTTGTGAGATTGGTTTGTAGCTAGCTCGCAATATGAGGTGGTTTTGGACCTAGAATGAGAAAAAACAAAAGAAATGTGAGTGAGTTGTAAACAATTTAAAACAAGAGTTAGGCAAAGGACAATCATATGGAGCAATGATGAAAAGATAGTTGCATGGGATGTGTGTAGAGCCGTCTTGAACATGAATCACTAGTGTATGGTCTTTCCACTGTCGTGGCTCCAACCACTATGTTTAAAACAACCTAATATACTCAGCTTTCGTTGGCTATTAGAATTGCAAACATGCATTAAAGGTTCAAGATTCAATTGTTCACAATAAACCATAACTCAGCTTTCGTTGGCTATGATCTATTGCTCACCAAATACTAGTTTTGAGATCTAGATTCAGCACTGTCGTGGTTCTATTTCTCTAAGATCAGATTACTAGATGTACGGTAGAGTAATCATGCATTAAGCTCAAGTAAAGGTGAAGATCCATAAGATAAATCCCAATAAGTTGCAACACAATCAAATCATCACGGCCACCATAGATCTCCTCGGCCTAACTAAGAGATCTACTCGGCCATGATGCAAACAAGCAAGCAAAGCATGATTGTAAACATTATGCAAGTATTAAAAGAGATAAAGGGATGAAGAAAGCTTCTCTATTGATGAACAAAGTCGGATTCTCCCTTGAAAACTCTTAAAATCAAGTTTATAGAAATGGAAACAATGAAAAAGAAAGAACAAGAGTTGAGCGGCGCCTCCTTCTTCTTGGACGATCTCCTAGGGCTTCTCTCCTCTGAACTCTCTTCTCACACGTACACTCTTTGATAATTTTCGGACTCTCTCTCTTCTTCAGCGGCTAAAAACATGTATATATGGGCGAAGTCGCGTAGGGTTTTCTTCATGCCGGAAAAGGAAAGTTTCCGCGAGCAAAGCCTTCTTCTCCACGTCGTGTATGGGCCGACATTGTACCAAGGAAAGCTCCAAACATTAGCCAGGCCTCTTCTCTATTCGATCAAGGCCTTTGGCGCTGCTGCTCGGGCCATTAGACACTCCAAATCCTCCATGGGCTTCGTTTGCTCGCTTACCGGACATGTCTCGGTAGAAAATAAGTCTAGGCCTCATAGTTGATCCAAATGGCTTCATTCCACTTCGACGTGATGCATGACTCAAGTATCTATCTTTCCATATCAAGATCGTAACTTTTGGACGTCGGGAACTCCTCCGCGCGCGGCCAAACTTCCGAAGCTTCGTTCTGCGCGCAGCGAGAACTAACACTTGGAGATAAAATGATCTTCTTGACTTGGAAACTTGCATGGATCTTGATTTAGGGCTCTTTTACTCCTTTTTGCATCCTTTTTGATTTTCACCTACAAAGACTTCAAATCCCACAAATACAAGAAAACTACCTCTAAAGGCAAAGAATCTTGCAAAAACCGTTTGAAAACATAGTAATTATATAGTAAAATCATGTAAAATATGGTGATATCAACTCCCCCAGACTTAGCCTTTTGCTTGTCCCCAAGCAAACTAAGCAGGAAAAGAGGTTTGAAAACGTGAGAACTCTCAAATCTTTTGGAAATCCAAATTGACTTATGCTTTAGTAATCCACATGAAACAGCATTGGCAAGTTTTGAATTAAGAACAAAGTACATACCATGAGTTTTGCGATTTTCCCAAAGCGGTCCACCTCTCCTTGGACAATCCAATTCGCCACCCTTGACTCCTTTCATTTCTAAAGGTGTGGTCTCAACTAGGGAGTATCGATCAGCCGGCTTTTAGACTCTTACTCATCCCCTTGTTTGGCACTTGTCTTTTACTCCATGTTTCTCCTCTCTCTCTTCTCACTTCTTTGAGTTGATTCATCCCTTTTTTAGGGTAGCGAAGTATTTTTTTATTCAACTCCTTCTCTTTATTATAGAGGTTTTGCTTGGATCTTCCACAGACGCGAGTATTGATGGTGTTTGCCACCGAATCCCCGGTTGCTTGGATTCATAGGCCTTCCATAGACGCGAGTATTGATGGTGTTTGCCACCGAATCCCCGGTTACTTGGACCTTACGCTTTTTCTTTAAATTTGAAGGGGAGAGAGAGGGAAGCACGAACTCACTAAGACTTTTTCATTTGATGGAGAGGATGAGGAATCATGCCATTTGTATGCCAAGCCCCTAGCTGAGAAGATTAAGTTCATTAAGGGCGGAGTCAAAGATGGATCCTTCTCAAGTCTTTAGAGATGTAGGCGTTTTTGGTAGATCGATCAACTCATAGTGCACCTGTGGTAAGATGTATTGCCAAGAACTGCTCAATGGTCACTTAAACATTAGTACAACCATGGTTAGATCCAAGATAAGGTCATGATTCTCGACAAAAATTTTGACTCAATAAAAACGACTCGATAAAAGGGAAAAATGCAAATGAAAATGCCAAAATGAACAAACATTGTTAGTAATCCCCCCAGACTTAACTTGCACCGTCCCGGTGAAATCAAATCGGATTAAGAGAGGCATAACATGAAGTTCAAATGAAAAATTGAAAAGAAAAAGGTTTAGGATGATGTTACCAAATGTCGACCAATTTATAATGAAGATCAGTTCTGGTTTGGGTCATTCTACACTTCTTTAGGCAATATTGGTCGGTGAGTTTTTAATTTCAGGCCTTGGTTTCCGCCGGTTTGTGTTTTGGCCGAGATTGGTATATTCGGTCGGCCAAAATGTGGTGCTGTGAACTACAGAACAAACCGTCAAAATTTCATGACCTATATTGAAATTTCATCGACCAACCTGGTATTTTATAGCCTCTGGTGAAGTTTGGGAGCATTTGTACGAGCGGATTGAGACTTCCTTCACAAAATGGTCAAGTCGGCTCCGGGAAGGAGTTTCCTTGGCCATGTGAAGTTTGGCTCGTTCCTTTTCGTTTCTTCCTGCATAAAAGTGTTAGTTAAGCTCAAAGAAGAGTTTTCCAACCGGTTGGCGCGCCTATGCCGTGATTTGGTTTTGTCGGCCATATTGCTTGCGCGCCATCGGCCAGAATGAGCTCCGTCGTCTATCTCATGATCCGTGATGATTTCTCCGTCCTATCTTTTGGATTTGCCGACCAAAATGTGATTTTATGGTCGCCTGTGAAGTTTGGTGGACTTTGGTCACGCCGTTTAGGAGTTGGCCGTAATTTGGTCTCCTTGTGCGCGGTATGGCCGAGAGAAATGTCCGGATTGAATTTCTTCAAATCCACTCGGGCCAATTGAGATTTTCTTCGACCGAATTGTTTTAATAACCCTCCTGTGTCATTCCCAAGTGGTGGCCGCCTTGTTTCGTGTGATGGCCTTGTATCTCCTTTTAACCTCCCTTTGGCCGCCATATGCATGTTGGTTTTGAGGTGGTTATAGGTTTGCTCTATTTCTCCTTCCTGTCAAATGGTTAACTCCTTGCAAAACACTTGAAATCATGATTAGATGGTTTCTCAGATTGTGATCCTCAAGTGACCAACTTGAAGTTCACAATCCAAGAGATTAAAGCACAAACTATAAATTCTTATTTGGTCTTGGTCAATGATCCAAATTTCAAACTATAGTTCAATCTCTTGTAATTTCAGTGAGCAAATGAGTTTTGACAAGTGATTATGTATTCTTTCCAATCATCAAAAGTAAATCAAGTTAAACCATGAAATATATTTGATAAAGTGCAATGGTTTAAACGATTTTTCAAGTGAAGATCAAGAGTGATTAGAAATGAATACTAGGTGAGAGTTTACTTACCTTTTGGAAGAGAAACGCCTTGTACAAGGGTGGGCTCATTGGGTGGGACACTTTCATTGTTTGGTCTCCTTTGGGTCTTCATCCTAAGAAAATATTTTTGTATTTTTGTTTGATTTTTGAAAAACTCCTGCAAAATAGAAATAGATAGTTAAAAACCATATGGGTTGCCTCCCATAAAGCGCTTTTGTTTTAAGTCATTTAGCTTGACTCCTTTTCTTTCTTTCAATCGTGGTGAAGAGTGGCTGAAGGGCAAAGGATCCCTTTAGCTTCTCCATTCTCCGGTTCAGTGGCTTCTTGTGGTGGTGTTGTCGCGCCATAGTCATCTCTCACATCATCTTTGAAAACCAATGCCTTGGGGAAAAGCTTCATAGTTCTCTCAAGCTTCTCTTCAATGGATTGGTCACCTTTAAGCTCCGAATCTTTTGGTGTAAAGATTCTTATCTTGTGAAAGAGATTAGGTGCACCATTAGTCTCCTCTTCAGCTCCATATCGTCAAAGGTTGGAAGTAAGATGGAGTTGATTCCTTAAAGACATTTTCATGCCTCGGCTCCAATGTTTTCTTCTTCTCCTTTGGTTTTGGGTAGCGCTCACTCTCTCTTCTTTCTCCATGCAGCATAGCTTCTTTCTTGGTAATGAGAGTGGCTTCTTCTGGTGGTAGCTTGGTCGCACTTGGCACTGACCTGAAATTTACACTTGGGAAAAAGATATCTTGCCGGATGTGGCCAAAAGATAGATGATTCCCAAAGTAGTTTAGGACCGCTCCAGCTGTAGCAAGGAATGGGGTTCCAAGAATCAGTTGATTCCTCTTTGAGCCTTCCCAAATCATGACTTGAAAGTCAGTTGGGACCGATCGACCCCCTATTTCCATCATGACATCTTCAAGCATTCCATAAGGTTCCATGCACGATAGATCCGCGAACTCGACTCTTATCTTGGGGCTCTTGAATTCCTTGAATCCCAAATCTTTTGCAAGTGCAAGAGACATTAGATTAACATTAGCACCAGTATCACATAGGCAATCGTGGAGTTGAATGCCATTGATACTTGAAGTTATCACAAACTTCCCCGGATCTTCTTGTTTTTGTAGTGGCTTGCCTTCAAGTCTTCTCTTGTAAGCTCTTCTTGATTCCCAACTGTATCTCTCCGGTTTGTGCCTCTCCTTAGGCTCATTTTCTTCTTCTTCCCCTTGAGATAGTGTAGGAACAATTGTGCCATCTATAGATGAGACAACACTACAAAATTTTTGAGTGTTTACCTCATTTTGTTTCTTGGCCGCCTCGGCTGTTTGAGCGATTTGCACCTCAAGCTTTTGAACGTGAGTAGAGAGAGACCCAAACTTGCTGCTTAGATCACCAAACATGTGATCAAGCTTCTCATATAGGTTCTTGGTGATCAATCTCTGCTCCTCCATGTATTTCTTCAACGCCACGTCAACCTTCTCTCCGGTTTGGGTTGGATTTGTTTCTTGAGAAAAAGTGAATGGTTGCTTCACTTGGTACATCCCTCTTGGATAGACTTGTTGTGGCTTGGATTGGTATTGGCCTCCTTGATACGCTCCTTGATTGGGGTAGACTTGGTCATTTGGATTCTCCACATTGTTGCTCCGGTATGATAGGTTTGGATGCGCGCGAAATGGTGGATTGAATCCTCTATTCCCATAGTTTCCTCCAATGTAGTTGACTTCCTCTAGATTCTCTTCAGCGCCATCTCTCATGAAATCCATAAGAGTGTCTTCATTTGTGGCTAGGGCATCTTCAATGGCGTGAACTCCTTGTCGGCTTTTAAGTAGTTGTGAAACCATGTTCCTTAGCTCCGAGATTTGAGCTGATTCTGATGAGCTCGTGGTCTTCACGCTTCTATTGTAGTCAGGGCATGCATTGGCATCACTAGCAGCGAGATTCTCAATCAAAAGCTTTGCCTCCGGCACCGACTTGGTCATGAAATTACCATTGCTCGCGGTATCGAGAGAAAGCTTGTATTTATGATCAATCCCATTGTAAAAGATGTTCCAAAGGTTACCTTCTGAAAAGCCATGGTTAGGGCAGCTTCTTGTGTACTCCTTGAATCTCTCCAAAGCTTCATAGAATGACTCCATTGAATCTTGCTTGAAACCAGAAATCTTGCTCCTTATAGAGTTGGATCTTTGCTTAGTGTAGAATTGGTTCAAGAAAGCTCCCTTGTATTCATTCCATGTTGTAATGGACTGAGGTGGTAAAGATTTTACCCATCTTAGCGCCTTGTCACTTAGAGAAAAAGTGAATAGCTTGCACTTGAAGTAATCCGGCGATACTCCATTAACACGAGTTGTGCTACATATCTCCTCAAAGGTGTCGACGTGATCAAGAGGATGCTCAGTGGGCAAACCATGGAATTGGTTTTGCTTCACCAAGGCAATGATCTGCGGTTTGATCTCAAAATCGTTCCTTGGAGGTAGAGGCGGTCGGATTGGATTCCGATCCATAAAGAAAGCATCGGACGAATCAAAGTCTCCCATAGTTTGGTGCCTTGGATGCTGCGCGTTTGGCACTCTCCTTGGAGGTGCGTGAGGTTGGTCTTGAGGCATCCCTTGGTTGTCACCGTGACGATGATGTCCATTTGCAAACGCCGGTGGTGGTCGCGGCGGGTTAAGAGGTGGCTGTAGCGGCTCAGCTGCATCGGGCGCGTTCGGATTGGGTGGAGGAACGTCTCTGGCCGGTGCTGGCTGGTCAGCTCTAGCTTCTGCTGGATTAGGAGGATCATTGGCTCTCCTCTCTTGGTCGGGCGGGTTGTTTGGCCTATTTGGCGCGCCTTCTCCGCCTGGATTCATTCTTTCTCTCCTTAGTCGCCTAAGTGTGCGCTCAAGTTGGTCAATGTCAAGATCTTCTTCAATGGTTGTATTTGGATTGGACCTTCTTGTCATGCACCTTAGAAACACACAAAGAGAGAGAGTTAAGTAAAATTTTTATGAGTTTTTAAGATTTTATGAAAAACAAAAACAAAGAAAAGTGAAAGATGAGATGAGCTAGTCTTGAAATCAATCAAGAGGTGTGAAGGAAAAGCAACTCCTCCCCGGCAACGGCGCCAGAAAGCTTGATGGCGGGTTTAGATTGCCTCAAATTTTCACAATTTATAAACCCAACTAATGAGCTGCAAGTGCACAGCCGTGTTGTAGTCGGGGTCGAACACGAGGAGGAAGTGTTCTCACTTAACACCTTGTGAGATTGGTTTGTAGCTAGCTCGCAATATGAGGTGGTTTTGGACCTAGAATGAGAAAAAACAAAAGAAATGTGAGTGAGTTGTAAACAATTTAAAACAAGAGTTAGGCAAAGGACAATCATATGGAGCAATGATGAAAAGATAGTTGCATGGGATGTGTGTAGAGCCGTCTTGAACATGAATCACTAGTGTATGGTCTTTCCACTGTCGTGGCTCCAACCACTATGTTTAAAACAACCTAATATACTCAGCTTTCGTTGGCTATTAGAATTGCAAACATGCATTAAAGGTGATCAAGATTCAATTGTTCACAATAAACCATAACTCAGCTTTCGTTGGCTATGATCTATTGCTCACCAAATACTAGTTTTGAGATCTAGATTCAGCACTGTCGTGGTTCTATTTCTCTAAGATCAGATTACTAGATGTACGGTAGAGTAATCATGCATTAAGCTCAAGTAAAGGTGAAGATCCATAAGATAAATCCCAATAAGTTGCAACACAATCAAATCATCACGGCCACCATAGATCTCCTCGGCCTAACTAAGAGATCTACTCGGCCATGATGCAAACAAGCAAGCAAAGCATGATTGTAAACATTATGCAAGTATTAAAAGAGATAAAGGGATGAAGAAAGCTTCTCTATTGATGAACAAAGTCGGATTCTCCCTTGAAAACTCTTAAATCAAGTTTATAGAAATGGAAACAATGAAAAAGAAAGAACAAGAGTTGAGCGGCGCCTCCTTCTTCTTGGACGATCTCCTAGGGCTTCTCTCTCTCTCTCTTCTCACACGTACACTCTTTGATAATTTTCGGACTCTCTCTCTTCTTCAGCGGCTAAAAACATGTATATATGGGCGAAGTCGCGTAGGGTTTTCTTCATGCCGGAAAAGGAAAGTTTCCCGCGAGCAAAGCCTTCTTCTCCACGTCGTGTATGGGCCGACATTGTACCAAGGAAAGCTCCAAACATTAGCCAGGCCTCTTCTCTATTCGATCAAGGCCTTTGGCGCTGCTGCTCGGGCCATTAGACACTCCAAATCCTCCATGGGCTTCGTTTGCTCGCTTACCGGACATGTCTCGGTAGAAAATAAGTCTAGGCCTCATAGTTGATCCAAATGGCTTCATTCCACTTCGACGTGATGCATGACTCAAGTATCTATCTTTCCATATCAAGATCGTAACTTTTGGACGTCGGGAACTCCTCCGCGCGCGGCCAAACTTCCGAAGCTTCGTTCTGCGCGCAGCGAGAACTAACACTTGGAGATAAAATGATCTTCTTGACTTGGAAACTTGCATGGATCTTGATTTAGGGCTCTTTTACTCCTTTTTGCATCCTTTTTGATATTTCACCTACAAAGACTTCAAATCCCACAAATACAAGAAAACTACCTCTAAAGGCAAAGAATCTTGCAAAAACCGTTTGAAAACATAGTAATTATATAGTAAAATCATGTAAAATATGGTGATATCAATAAATAAGGAGAAAGTGGGTCCCCTTATCTGAGCTCCCTATTTGGTGTTATTTGGCCCCTTGGATTTCCATTTATTAACACCTTATACTTAACAGACGTAATACATCACATCATCCATGCGATCCATTGCTCTGCAAACCCCATTTTTCTCATCAATTCCTCGATAAAAGGCCATTCGACTCGGTCGTACGCCTTGCTCATATCCGTTTTCACCGCCATAAACTTTCCTTTACATGACTTATTTGTCCTCAAACCATGAAACATCTCCTGAGCTATCAATATGTTATCAGAAATTAATCGGCCTGGAACAAACGCAGACTGGGTTTCTGAAATCAATCTTGGTAGCAGCACCTTAAGTCGCTGGCAGAGGACCTTTGAAATAATCTTATACCCGACATTACACAAACTTATGGGCCTTAACTCCGTCATCTTAGTAGGGCGTTCCGTCTTTGGGATAAGACATATATTGGTCATATTTAGCCGTTCATCAAAAGTTCCCGAGGTAAGGAAATTATTCACCATGGTAGTGATATCCTCTTTAACTATATGCCATGATCGCTGAAAAAACAATGCCGTCATTCCATCTGGTCCAGGTGCTTTTTCTGGGTGCATCATAAAAAGTGCATCGCGCACTTCTGCTTCTGTCGCCCGCCGAGTCAGCATCTCGTTTTCTCTTGATGTAACCGCGCGGAAATTTATATTATTGTGTTAATTTTATTGTTTTTTCCGCAAATTTAATTTATTTATGTGGTTTATTACGCAAAATTAACGTATTGTCTTCTCCCATCTTATCTCATTTCGTTCATTTTCATCATGTCCGTTATTGCCAGTCCCATCCGTCCTGTCTGTCCCGTCCCGTCCCGTCCTATCCCATTTTGTTATGTCTCATCATGTTCTTTATGTTTCTTCTCGTCCCGTCCCTAAATATAACTAAGGATAGGCAAAATTCCCATATAGTCCCATCCCGTCCCTTTTTATTCCTTCTCATCTTGTCCCGTTCTTTCTTTGTCCCATCCTATCCTGTTATGTTTTTTTTTTCGATTTGCCGTGTCTCTGTCCTGTCCCTAAATATAATTAGGGGTAGGTGAAATTTTTGTCCCGTCCCTCCCGTCCCTTCTCTTCCCAATATATCCCTTTCATCTCGTCACGCCCATTCCCGTCTCATTCCGTTTTTTTTCATCTCGTCATGTCTAATTTGTCTGTCTCGTCCCGTCTAATCTTATCCCATTTCATTATGTTTCTTTCCATCTTGTCCTGTCTCATCTTGTTATTTTCGTTTTTTTCTATTCGGTCTCTAAATATAATTTGAAGTAGGCAAAATTATGTGGTATCCCATTCATTTCCGTTCCTTTACATCCCATCTCATCATTTAATATAATAAGAAGTTTGAAAATATTCATTTCTTCTCTCGTTATGTTTTTTTCCATCTCATCCTGTCTGGTCTCATCTGTTTCGTTTCTCCTTTTTTAAAGTTTTGAAAATATTCATTTCTTCTCTCGTTATATTTTTTTCCGTCTCATCCTGTCTTGTCTCGTCTGTTTTGTTTCTCCTTTTTTAAAAATGACTTTTCATATTCTTGTTAAACTTATTATAGTAATAAATGCTAATTATTATGAAATTAAAATATTAAAAAGAGAAAATGCAATAAACTAATTTAGTGATGACGTGGCATTTTGCTGAATTTAGAAGGAGTCTCCAGCAGAATAGAATGACACCAACTTTATATATATAGATTTTAGTTTTACTTACATCATCTATAGATTTATCAGTTTGTAATGCGTACCATGAATTTTGTTAAGGAAGAGAGACTTTCGTTTGGGTTCCTCGAGTTTTCTTGTGATACTCGACAATTAATATTACTAGGTTAGAAGCTTCGGGCAAGCGCAGGGTTGTTTGCGATAATTTTTCTATTTAACTGTTTTTATACTCGATGTTTTGAATTAACATAGTTTTGTGTTAATTTTCATATTTAGTTATGTTTTGAGTTAAACCAACTACTAACACTAAAAATGTAAACATTTGTCTTTTATTTTATTTTATTAGGATGTTAACACCGCACTTTATCTCGAGTTTTCTATTTCTAGAATTTTAGCATGTTACAAATATTATGTTTGTTTACTATAGACAAATAAACATGCATATGCATTTGACTCAATGTTAAAATTTGTAAGCATAATGTAAAATCGTATTTGCACTCAAAATAAGATGGACAAATTAATATGTATACTTTTTACATATCTACTTTGTTGTGGTAGCTGGAATCATGTGAACCTCATGATCATTGATTATTTTCTATTATGTTAGTTTTGTAAATATAGATTATATTTTTGAAACAAACATATCACAATCTTTAAAAATTTCATGTTTTTCATTGCAATTAAATTTATATATAAAAACTTGACTTCTATTTGTTTAAAAAAAAACAAACTCTAACTCTAATTTCTCATTAGGTTTCTAATATCTTAATTAATTTATATTCAACCTTTTCACTTGAAAAAATAGTATAACATTTTAAAATAGGATAAATCCTTTGAATAATAAGATATATATATATATACCATTTCATTTCAAGTTAAATATTTATGTATTCCATCTCCATTTTATATTCCAACTTTTTGATAACTTTTAAACATTAAATTATCACATACTTTGTATTAATTAAGTAATTTATTTGTGTATTTTTCTTAGTTTTATTTATATTTAAATATGAATATATGCAGAAACTATAAATAGTCATATATTAAATATCTTAAATACAATTTAATGACTTTTTTTGCTGATGTGGATAGGCTAGATGGAAAGAGGAACTCCCTAATTATATATAAGATTTTGTGTTAAATTAAAAATTTAAAGATATTTAACAATTAAAATATTCATAGAATTTTATATTGAGAAATTGTTTTGAGAGACTTCCACTAAAAATGCTCTAAACGACACGAATCGTAACAGTTTAGACAATATTTTGTAATCTTACATATATCTTTTGCATGTTTTCGGTTTATAGAGCTTTCCATTTTCCCCATGTACCACCACGCATCCAATAACAACAAAAATACAAATAAAAACAATATATGCATATCAAATGGAAACAGAAAAGCATTAGTGACTAGTCAGGGTAATCACATTTCACATAGATCTAAGAATTCCAATTTGGTCGCACATAAAGACAATTTTTTTTTTTTTTTTTTAATGTTACACAAGGCTTTGAATAGTATTGAAATAAAAGTTCAAGGATAATGTTTGTGTATCTACTAGTACTATATACAATCAATCATATCAATGAGATTTAGAGATGATTTACCATGATACTATAGAAACAACATATCAAACTTTAACCATTCTCACAAATAAACTACAAATCCAGCACAAGACGTTTGGGAACTCACTTTAAACTTTATGGACAGAAGAATAATTGAGTGAGAGAGGTTTCTGGTGCTAGGAACTCGAATCAAAGTCTTTATTAATTAGATAACCCTTGTGAAAAACTTCACACAGACACATCTTTTATCAAATTTTCAGAAAATACTCTCATATATTAAAGCATGATCCATATCGATGGTACAATGAGTGATAAGTTTATTCCAACGGGATACTGATATTATCTTAACCGCGATAGCCTATAAAAATCATTGTGGTGGCGTTAGGAACGGCAGGGGAGGAAACCTAAAGTTTGGGAAGCCAGGGATGCTAGGGAAGCCAGGGAAACCGGGAACTGATCGCGGAGGGGATGACTGTGACGGCAATGGAAACGGGAACCGAAATTGTGGAAAGCCAGGGAAGCCGGGATTCGATCCGGGAGGTGATGACTGTGATGGTAATGGAAACGGGAATCTAAACTGTGGAAAGCCAGGGAATCCAGGGAAGCCGGGATTCGATCCCGGAGGGGATGACTGTGACGGCAATGGAAACGGGAACCTAAATTGTGGAAAGCCAGGGAAGCCGGGGAAGCCAGGGAAGCCGGGAGTCGATCCAGGAGGGGATGGCTGTGAAGGTAATGGAAACGGGAACCTAAAGCCAGGGAGGCCAGGGGAACCGGGAACTGATGGCGGAGGTGATGACTGTGATGGAACAGGAGGCGGAAACATGGAGCCAGGGGAACTGGGCATCATCGATCCCGGTGGCGATGATTGTGATGGAAATGGAAATGGAAACGGAAACATAAAACCAGGGATACCGGGAATCGATCCTGACTGTGATGGCATATCAACTTTGATTTCGTCAGTCGGCTTCTGATCGTTGAGAGAGCGAGCTGAGGTTGTTTCCGACGTGAGTTGGAAGATCAAGATTAGGGTAAGGGCTAAAGCGGTGGTGACTGGAGAAGCCATGTTTGTTTATGTGCTTCTTTTGCTTGTGTCTTGCAATAGCAGATGTCTATTGTGACTATATATAGGCCTTTTTGTCACACAACTAAACAAGTGTTTCATTTTAAAAAAAAAAATCTGTATACATTCTACCAACCATGTATCTGCAAACTGTAGATTGCATCAACTATAAAGGGAAATTACACGTACACAAACACAATTATGGTGACAAATCTGGGTACCATTCAGAAATAGTTGGACTGATTTGACAGCTACAAATGCATGGGTATGGTATGGTGGATGGTGCATATCCATTCCAATAAAAAGAAATAAAAAACGTGTAACATGAAAATTGGTTGAATAAAAAGAGAAACATAAAAATTGACTAATTGAATAAGAAATAAAGAGGTATATGCATGCACATGAACTGGCTGCAGCTCATAGAATCGAGTTCTTCTAGTTATAACAGAAAGGCTGTATACTTACACATTTTACATACTATTCTAACATTCACATTTCAGTATCCTATACATTATTTTATTCCTAAATAGTTTGTAAACATTTCCTGATGAACTTACACGATTTGGTATATAAATCTACAAATATATGATTTATAGTTTAAGGTTTATATGGCAAGCCACTAAAAGAGACAGCACTTTACACCCTTTAAATGTTACACAATATATAAATGTACATAAATCTTCATAAATATTACTAGTTTTTAGGGGTGTTCAATCTAGTAACATCCATTGAAACCGAATCAAAATAAGTCATATGGTTTGAATTTGGATATAACATATAAATTATAGACGTATAATTTTATACAAACTATGAATATTGATATAATTTGGATATTAATCAAATAACAGCAAAAACCGAAACAAATCCGACTACTTCTATATTTAATATCATAGTATATAATATACACAAATGTTATGGTATGATATTTAATATAAATTTAAAATGATATTAAATAGAATAATAGATTATTAAATAACCAAATTCTAACAACAAAAACTTTAGATAAAGCACTATCTTCTTCTCTATACATAAATATTATTTTGATCATCATTTCTAACAAATTTCTCCACCTTTAATCATTTTTCAAATTTTGCTTCTTGCTTCTATTTCTCGACAAAGTCATTAATATAATGTGAATGTTTGTTTTACTAATTTAATGATTAAATTATAAATAAAATTCTTTAAGAATAATTAAAACAAGTTTAAACAATACTTTTACCGAAATTTGAGAATAATGAAACCAAAATTATTAACTAAATGAAACAAACCAAACCGAATTTAGTATGGTTCTAATATAATAACTATTTTTTATTAACCGAAACTCCAAAACAAAAAAAAACGGAACCAAAACCGAACCAATATCCGGATTGAAACCTATGGAACCCATATCAGATGGGTTCAAATTTCACCCCAACCCCCTTTAAAATATATATATTTATAAAATAAGATTTTGACCCCAGCTTAAATTTGTGTTCTAAAAGTCCCCAATTTTCCCTATTAATCGCCCAATTAGCCCTTCAAGGGAATGGCCGTGGATATTTTCGGTAATCGGTGACACTGTTTAGTCAAACTTACGTGATTAATTACAAAAATATTTGATTAGCTCTGGAAATCAGCAGGCCAAATATTTTTTCTGAAATATGTTTAGCTTAGTTGATAATTGTTTACCAAATTAGGCCCAAAATTGAAAATTCATTTTATTAACAGTTATCTTAGCCGAAAAAAACATGTGACTAATCGTTCTCCACTAATTGATTTGGGGATTTATCTTCTAAACACAAACCTTTATTATTATTTTTTTGTCTTCTGTAGTAAATGTGAATTTTGAAAAATATTTAATCTAAGTAGAAAATATATATTTCATATTAATGTATCATCTTATATATAAAAGTATTTAATAATATATAAAAATTTCTCCTTAAGTAATCCCCAATTTATCAGCGATTTTTGGAAAATCGTGTATCAACCGCAGCGAATTCGTGAAGACTTATAGGCTAAAATGATTCATGGGTTCGCTAACTATATCAGTATGTAATGTATACCATAAATACAAAAAATTGGACATTTTCATTTTTTCCCATACAATTCGATAAAACAAAGAGTAAATGTAACATCCCGATTTGTGGAGAATTAATTTGATTACCTTGTATCCCAAATTCAACATATTTCTTGGAACCATTCACTGGACGATCACTGCTATCTCCAATGTCGCCAAGATTGAAAAGTTAAAGCTTTTGTTTCTTGCTTCTTGTCCTACTGTCAGTGTATGTTTGTCGAATGCCACAACGGGACAGCTGTTCATATCAACCCTTGAGCTTAGACAGTTGGATTGGTTCCATGTATTTAACTGAGTTTGAAAAGTGGTTTCGTTGCACAAACCAATCTCGGAGCAGAAACTGAAGATCATGTGAGGTCAGTATATTTATTGTTACACTTCACAATAAACTACCTGTATAGGTATGATAATATGCAAATATAGTATAAAGACGTGTCTACAATAAAAAAATCGAGTTGAAAAAAGATAAACAAAAATGAGCAAAAACTAAGAGACAAATAAGCAAACGGAAAAATATGGACTCTTTGTAGTATTTGAAATGATTTCTAACACAAATCAAACTTTTTATTATATGATAAGAGCATGTTTTGTGATCCAGGATTGTGGAGGTGCAAACAAATTCACTGTTGAACCTTGACTGAAAGGGTTACCTGATAGTGATCTAATCTATGGAGAAACTTCTACGATACACGTCTTTAAGAGCATGTTTTGTTTCTATGGAGAAAATGCCTTAAAAACCTCGTTACACGTCTTTAAGGCATTTTCTTGATGATTCAAAAAAATACTGCTACACTCTTTAAGTCACAAGCTAGCGTCCAGATCTCGTTAGAGAAACTTTCCTTTATGGTAATTACGTACAGGCAGCAACAATGTGTATCCCAAATTCTACATCTCTCCTGGAGCCATTCACTGGGTGACCATTACTATATCCAATGTCGCCACGATTGAAAAGGTAAAGCTTGTGTTTCTTGCTTCTTGTCCTACTGCCAGTGTATGTTTGTCGAATGCCACAACGGGACAGCTGTTCATATCAACCCTTGAGCTTAGACAGTTGAATGGTTTCATGTATTTAACTGAGTTTGAAGACCGGTTTCGTTGCACGAATCAATGTCGGGGCAGAAACTGAAGATCATGTGAGGTCAGTATAATGTTATACTTCACAAAACTATATGAATATGTATGAGGATATACAAGAGTATAAATAAGTGTCAATAAAAAATCATTGAGTTGAAAAAAGATAAAACAAAAATGAGCAAAAACTAAGAAACAAATAAGCAAAATTTCCTTAGTTTTGTGATATTTGTGTTTAAGGTTTAGTTTTATATCATTACGTACAAGTAATATGTATACCACAAATTTTGTTACGGACATTTTCATCTTTCAACCCCCATACACTTCGATAATATAAACAAAGACTAAACATAGGGACATTTTGGAAAACATTCTCTTGTTCTTAAAAAATGAAACGATATTATCATATATGTAAGGAATATGGCTCACAGAAGAACTATATTTTTCTAGGTTTATAGAATTTACAACCCAAAGATAGCAACATTACAAAAACATGTTATTTGAATCGCTCTCTTCTATATATAGCTCTCCATGCTTCCACACAATGTTACATTTCTCTCTGCTTCTATAATCAATGTATGTGCTTCTGTGCTGAAAAGCAGATATACGCAATAACAATCTATGAGAATTACAAATAGATATAGATGGATCAGAGAGAAGAGCACGCTTGTTGTCCAAATGAAGCTTTTACGTAAGTCATCTCCATGCTCATGAATTGGGAAGAAGCCGACCATTGTACATCTTGTCGAGTAGCTCACGAGCACCAGGCCTTCTTAGAAGCCCTTTGTTGTTTGGTAAACCTGTACCCAAACAGACCGGACAAACAAGCTTCCCTCGTCCTGTTTGCAGATAGAAGCAACCGATTAATTGTTTCACACGTAACTAAACCTAAACAAAACTAAGGAAGTATTTGAGAGAGAGATAGACACAAACCGTAACAGTTTGGACATTCTGTGAACTCATATACATCTTTTGCACGTTTTCTGTTTAGAGCTTTCCATTTTCCTGTGCCACCACACATATCACCTAAACCACAATCAAGAAAACAAAAATTAAAAACCATATAGGCATATGGAAACAGAGAATCCATTATAGGACATTTAACATAGAAAGGAGTCACGAAACAGAGTAATCGAACAAACAAACAAACAAGTGTCACTTACAAAGAACAGCACCAATGCCCTGACAGTTACGGCAAACTCCTGGTTTCTTGTCTAGTGCGGCTGCGTCTTGTACAGAGACAAAAGTATACGCATTGCTGATTAGAGCTGGAGATAAGCACACACATGTCATCCACTGTCTCCGTGATATAGATTTCTGATCCAAGTAAACACAAGCCGGTTAATTTGGTGGCTACGCTTAAAACTGATTGCAGAAACTTAGAGTAGGACTCGAGAATATTGTTAGCATAATGGAAGCACTTGCATTGTGAACTAGAACTAGCTCAGCTCCCAAATTTCAGTGAACAGTAACAAAGAAAATGCTGGTGATATACCAATTTCTAAGACAATAGCACACCAAATTAACTAGAGAACGTGAACAATCAACTACCTAACTTAGCACCATTTTGAACACTAATTTAACAATAGTGAATTAGATACCTTAAATTAACTAAAAATTGTAGAGAAAATATAAAGATAAGAAGAACTTGTAACTTTTAAAAGCTCCAATTTGTGTGGTTAACTAACAAAAGAAGAGTCAAAACAATGAATTGGAAACTTTTGCAGCTGATAGAAACGCTTGGAAGACGAAAAAAGATACGAACTTTTGAACATTTCAATTTCCTTAAGAAGTCAGATAAAAACTTTTTAAAATTGAAAGTGATAATCCACACAAGAAGAAACAAGAATATTGCAGGAAGAAGGCGAATTTATAAAATAAATAACCTGGGTTTTGTTGTTATTCTCCGACGAAGAATCGGAATCGTTCGAATCGAAGCTCTGATTGTCCGGGCATGATTTCGCATTGATGCAGACTCGATTCCGGTTTGGTGCGGCTAAAACGAAACACTGAGTGTCACAAAACTCGGATAATCGTATCAACAATGTCGTAAATTGAACTGAGAGAGATTAAAATGGATGTTACAGAGAAACGGAGAAGCTGTGTCCAGACGCGAAGGGAGTGCAAAGAGATGAGATGAAGCCGCCATTTTCTGTATGCGGTCATAATTTTACTTGCCGACCCGAGCAAACAAATCTATATGTGTTTCAGATTTTTATTATTTTAATCTTTTAACAGCCTCGTAAAATTAACAAAAAAAACTAAATATATAGATGTGTCTGTTGGGCCTACACCAAGATAGGCCCAATAATTAAAAATTTGATCGGTGCAATAAAATTGGTGCTGCGATGATAATATGGTTGTTGAGTTGAGGTGATGTTTATGAGTTGAGTCAATTTAATTAAGAGTTTACTGTGAACTAATAATCCTCGCAATGATTTTTTTTTTTGAAAATCTATTTTTGACTCTTAAGAAAATCCAAGTTAGCTTTCAAGTCAAACCGATATATGATATGCAAAGCCGACCCTGGAAAGAGCCAAATGAGGCATTTGGCTATGATTCCCACATTTAAGAAAAAATATATATGTATTGATTTTGGTCTTCAAATAGTAAAAAATTGACTTTTGTCTCCATAATTTACCAAAACTCTTTTAAATTATTATTATTGTGGCCCTTTTTTTCAAGGTCGACCCTAATGATATGTGTTTGTATCGATGTACATTTGACCATATGGCGGTTTCACTCGAACATTGCAGATTGACTTGCATTTTCTTAGAGTCGAGCATAGATTTGCCAAAAGAAGAAATCAATTTGAGGGTTAATTTGCAGAAACTCGTTTATTAATGAATATAATATAAAAGTATTTGTTAAAAGAATGCTTAGTAAGACAAAATTTAAAAATTATAGAACGAGGAATGGTGGAGCATATGGAACTAATAACCAGGTCAAGTCGGAATATGTATACAAGATGGAATGTGGGTCAATGACTTTCGTATTAGGAAATAAGATAAAGTGGGCAGAATACAATATTGAGATCGGTTGAATGACGATCTCAAACCAGAAAGCAAACAGTTCGGCGCGAAGTAATTTTTAGTCTATGCTATTTCCCTCAACTTCCAACTGTCCCATTCATAATGGTTTATTGTGCTATTTGTAGCACAGTTTATCGACGTGCCTTAGTTTCTTAATGGGCCTTCTTTTGATTTGGGCCGGCATAGTAAACTGTATGGATCGGCGGGCCTTAGTTTCTTAATGGACTTTCTTCTTATTTGGGTCGGCACAGTAAAGTGTACGGATCGGCGGGCCTTAGTTACTTAATGGGTCTTCTTGTGATTTGGGCCGGCATAGTAAACTGTATGGATTGGTGGTTTAGTTTCTTTATGGGCCTTCTTCTGATTTGGACCGGCCCAACTGGATGGTAAGCCCACCTCCAACAAAAACCGATGGTGGAGAGATCTCTTATATATCGATCTTGCGCATGACTTTTAGCTTTGAACAATGAAAAAGTCTTTAGGTGATGGATTGTACCGCTTCTGCTGATAATTCACACTTCACAAGCACTTGTTCCGTTGTGAAACCAATTATCATACAAGGTCTTAGTCTAAGAAGGAACAAACAGACTTTTTTATAGAAATTTTTTTTTGAGTATTTTGCACGCGCTAGTAAGTTGAGTGAGAGTGTGGTCTGGTCCTATTGTTGCTTCTCAGCATATTATGATATGTGCATCTTAATGAATATCTGGACATTCAAGTCATGCCTAAAAATACAGCAACAATGAGCAAACTACACAAACTATATGATTCGCATGTCACTAACTATACAATCATTTACTTCGACGTCAGAACAAATCCTACAAACTTTTTTTCAGGATAATATATACATGTTATGTATTTTGGTGAACACATGTGTGTGTTTTTTACATGTTCTAACATGTTCTCGGATAGGTTGATGGATTTTTTTGTATGTTCTTAGGAGAATATATAATGTTTTCAAGTGTTTCCTTTGTAAACTTGTGATGAATTAGGATTATTATGTTGTTGATTATAGGGTGAATTTGGTGAATAATTACATTGAGAGACATAATGGAGGATATAGCCATAAGGGATTTGGAATTAGAAATGTGGTAAAGGTGATTGTGAATTTACGGCAAAGGGCTCACTTAAATGAGAGGGAAGAAGGTCTCGTACCGGCTGAGACGGGAATAAAGATGATGTGGGCAAATAGTGAACATGACCACATATAATATGTTTGAACATAACAAGATTCGTAATGTAATTAACTACCACATAATTTTACCGAAGAACTAAAACCTCTCACTTGGAATTGGAAAGAACCCTAAACACTAAAACATGAACCCCTAATCAGGAGAACATACACACTATTAGATAAATAGATAACCGTGAAACCCCCGTACAAACATTATCAATATGAAACCGATAACAATTGTTTCGATGTATCGGTGAAACAATACGTACATCATAAACACCAAACTATAAAACATCAACCTAAACACACAAATTATGTGACAATATAAACTAAAACGGGAAACAGAAGCACTAACCGTCATCATGGAAAACTAAAGAGCATAAAGGGGAGGGGAACCTATACTACATATGAAAATAATATGGAATCAGTCTGGTCTGATGGTGTTTCCTTTGAAATGACACAACCCTTACAAATACTTCGTCTAATTAATTTTTGCTTCCCCAAGCAACCAAACCCTATATACTAAACCACTAAACACGAAGCCTCAAACCCTAAACCCTAAATCCATAAACTTTTTGAAATGAATCCTACATTATACAATGTAAGTCTAAGCACTACACACTAAACCCTACACTCTACATCCTAAACCATCAAAACTAAACCCTAAACCATTACCAATTAACCCTAACCCTAAATACGAAACGTGAAACCCTACAAAGAGAAAAAGAAACCCATCCTTCGTAACCAGTGACCCTGACCGTGGTGAATTACACAGGCACTGAAATCCCTAATCCCTGGACTTGACATATAAACCCTACACAGACCAAATCTTCTACTGTACACGACATACTATACTACACAACATTATAGCATATAATAATATTATGTATGTTGTAGTCTATTTATGTGAATATATAGTATGGTGGAAAGTAACTTGATTGTATACTATGGCCATATTTGTTTCATGGTCGCTGCGACCAGCGTTAGCGGCAAGAGAAAAAAACGCTGACGGAGGTGGTGGTGGAGAAAAAGGGGTATGTTGCCGTTTAAGGAGTCGCAATTGCCATTGAAAGGAGCTGCAACTGACGCTAAAATTTTCAACGACCAGATGGTTGTCCGTAAACAGTTGCAGCGTCACTCCGAACGGTATACTCTCCACAAAACTTGCCTTCCAAGTATCATTAATGTGGCCGCTGACGCAAACGATATGCGACCACAATGATTGTCATTCCACATGGGATACAATTTATGATTCGGTAAGAAACGGATTCTATGTTAAACTCGACCGTCAAAAATCAAAGTGAATCTGCCTCTCTTCTCCACGTTGAACTGATTGTAAGAGTTAAGGAAATTCTAGGTGGTGACCAGCGAAGAGAACGTCCAAATTTTGAGTTTTGAATGTCTCTTTCTCTTTCCCCGAACCTAGTAACCAATTTAATTAGCCGGTCACCACATATACAACGAAGTTCACATTTCTCTTTCTTATGCGTGGGACATTTTGGGCAATATTACAGAATATATACAGAATACTCTAGCTATAAAAAATAATGGCTAGTCTCTTAATTCAACTGCTCAATATAATTATTCAGTATAATTTCCCTTGATTATATATGTATTCGGTACAGTATTCTGACGTTGGAATTTTTGCGTTTGGCTATTCAACTGATTGGACCTTATGAGCTTTGTATCATTTGTAGTCTGACGCTTTTTAAATAATAATAAAACAAACACATGTTTTGTGGTTACACATGTTTATCTTATTAATAATCTCTTATTTTGTTTACAACATATTTTATAATTGAATCATTTCAACATGCGCCAGCGTAGAACAAGGGAAGCATGACTTATTATTATTTGATTTCCTTATTGCACCATCCGGTCTACTTCTCGTAAATTTGTAGTAATAAACGGTATACAAGTCCTTGTCGTTTCAGAATAAATAAATAAATGAATTTGCGTGCTGCTAGAGACGAGGCCTGCTTCATAGTTCATATGGGTCGTGATTTTTTTGGGTTTTATAATCTCATTGAAGAAAATACCATTATACACCAATCATGAAGGTGATAGTTTGGATTTCGATTTGTGTTTTCCCCGGTTAACAAAAAAACGAAGAATAATATGGGATGGAAAATAGTAGTGATTAGGATGTAATGCACAAACGTGTATCTAAGTGTTTGTCATGAAGAGACCAATTTACTCACATCCAAAATTTAGGTATTTCCTTCTTATTTATATATATTTTACTAAAAAAGAAATGTTAATTTTGTTAGAAAATGGATAATCATCCACTCATCAACCTCATCTTATATGGTGATTCATCACTTGATTTATTGTTATTTTATGTAAATATTTATTCACTTCACCGACATTCTCTTAGCATAAAAGAGAGTACAATATATGTAAACCAACGACACATCAATTCAATAAAGAAACATTTTCTCCTCTCTCTCATCTCTCACGTGTCTCCTCCTCTCATAGGTCCCACCTTTTATTTTATTTATTTATTAATAGTTTACACATTTATCAGCACGATTGCCTCTATACCCTAGATCTGTCTAGATCTATTCTTATTCCGTAGAGGTAAGCCTAAATTCTGTCCAAATTTATTTAAAATTATTATTTTTCTATTCTGCCGGGAAGTTAGGCTATGCCTACTCCGAGCTGATCGTCATGGATGGCTCTGCCTCCTCGATCAAATAAATTCTTAAAGCCGGGAAGTAGGCTCTGCCTACTCCGAGCTGATCGTCATGGATGGCTCTGCCTCCTCGATCAAATAAATTAAAGCCGGGAAGCTAGGCTCTGCCTACTCCGAGCAAATGATCACATGGTAGACTATGTCTCCTCAGATCATATATATGGAGTGGTAGGGAAATCCTCCTCCGGAATTGATGGTGAAAACCTCCTCTATGTAGCGGAGTTGATGACTATGTCTCCTCCCAGATC